ATTACCTAAATAGATTTCAAAATGGCTGGGGAATTTAGAATTTATTTGGGGCTTCGAAAATTTACCTCCTATATAAGGGGATTAATGCCAATTCGAATTTTCCAGGAATAGCTAAATTAGAATTAATATTTCCCTCAAGGTCTTTTATGATATAACTGGTCCTTGAGGTTTTTGGATTAAATGGGATTGGATTTTCTATGTGTTACTCAAAAAATGGGATTGAGGAAAAATTCTTTGGATTTTCGAAATTCTTTTCCCTCAAGGCCTTTTACATAATAGCATGGTCCTTGAAGGTTTCCATAAAATTGGATTAAGGGGATGGGATTTTTAAGTTTCATTGAATGATGGGACTAATTGTTAATTCTAACTTCCCAGGGGTAAGTAAATATGGGTTATTTTCCATCAAGGCCTTTTATGTGATAACATTCTGGTCCTTGAGGTTTTCTTTAAAATTTGATTAAGGGGATAGGATTTTCTAATTTTAACTGAGTAATGAGATTAAGTTCAAATTCTAAATTTCAGAGGTATTAGAATATTTCTCTCAATTTTAACCTCAAGGCCTTTATGTTGCAATACATTTTATGGTCCTTGAGTTTTAAGTTACTTGATAATTGGAAGGGGTATAATGGAAGGGGATAGGAAATTGAATTTTTGTTTGGTAAACTTATCTACGGCCATGTTTTCCAAGAGTAAGTTGAGTTGATTGAGTTCATGGTGTTCCAATGGTATGTGGAGGAGTCAATGTAATAGTTGAATTATTGTTGAATTTGTAGTTATAATTGGAGTAGAAAATATAATATTAAGTTAATTTGAGAAATGCGCGTAAAAATAAAGGTGAGAGAACGGGGGTGGAGGAGGATAGAAGGGGAGAAAAGGGTAGAAGGGGGGATAGTGTAGAGGTTGGATAGTGTACAGGGGGGATAGTGTAGAGGGAGGATAGTGTAGAAGGGGGATGGTGTAGAAGGGGGATGGTGTAGAAGTTAAAGGGGGGGAAGAGTGTTGGAAGGATTCTTAGAGAATTTATGGGAAGATTTGGAGGTTGTGTTTTACTCATTCTAGATTAGATTAATTCATATTTAATAATAAATTAATTCTAATGGATTTCTTTACAATTGGGTTCAAAAATTTATTGGTTTTTCTGTTTGGAGTTTTGGGAAGGGGGGGGGGGTAATTGTTTCCTAATTAGCTTAATTATGATTAATTTCAAATTAATTCTAATGGATTTCTTTACTTGAAGAGAGGGGGAGAGATTGTAAGGATAAGCGCTTGGAATAAAATGTAAAAAATTTATGTCGGAAAAAAGGAGGGAAAAATATTTCAAAAATATTCATCGATTAAAAATTTCCCAGGATAGTTGATAGATTATATTAAAGGATTTTATTAAAGGATTTATGTATTTTGTCATTGGAAAAAATTAAAACGGAAAAAATTGGATTATTATCGGAAACTGGAAAAAATTTTAAAATAGGAAAGAATTGTGTTCTCATTGGAAAAAATTTAAAATATTGGATTCTCATTGGAAAAAAACTTTTTTTTAATGGAAAAATATAAAAATTGAAAAAATTGATCTCATTGGAAAAAATTGTAAAAATTGATCTCATTGAAAAAATTGTAAAAAATAGGAAAAAATGTATTCTCATTTGAAAAAAATTTAAAACTTGGAAAAAAAATTGATTGTCATTGGAAAATTTACTGGGATTTCTTTGAAAATGAGGGAGGTGAAAATGAAAACGGTTAGGTTATAATCTCTCCCTTTTCTCTCTCTCACTCTTTTTAATTCAGATACTTAATTCTGATTAAAAAAAACTATTATTTGGAAATGAAAGGAATTGTTGGGAATAATGAGTTAAAGTAAAGGAATGAAGGGAGAAGTGGGAGGGGGATGGGGACATATTTAAAAAAATATTTTTAATTCAGAAACTTAATTCTGATTAGAAAATTGTTTTTGATAGAAAGGGGGGGGGGAGAATTGGGAAAAAAATTTTTTAACCAAATTTGTAATTAAATTTATAATTATTTAAACTTATAATTATTAAATTTAACAATATTTACAAACACAAAAATAGGGAGGAAAGGGTATATGGAATAAAAAGAAGAGAAAATGTGTATTTCCTTCTTTTTATTTTAAAAATCTTATGAGGGGAAGTAATGTAAGATCGATTGGGAATGGGAAAGTGAAAAATTGAGCAGCTATTCTTATGGCAAAAGAGACGGGATAAGCGTCACTTTTTGTCATAATTTTTCTGATTATGGGAGTGGGAGGGTATGGGATTGGAAATAAAAATGGGAATGGAAGGCGAAAATAATTCTTAATATTAATTTAAATAAATAAATATTGAGAAGAGTGTGAGGGAGGAAGGAGGGAGAACTATACTTAAAAAATATGGGGTAGAAACCTAGTTGAATAAGGCCTAAAGGGAAAAATGTTTTAAAAAAATTATAGGGAAGAGAGCGGGGGTGACCAATACCTAGAGGGCATTTGAACCATCCGGTGCTACCAATTATGCGGCTCAGACCTTTCGGTCGAGCGCACCTTCAGAGCGCCGGTTGGGGAATTGGGGATTGAGTGGGGGAGGCGCAGAGGACCTATTGACTGAATAAATTCGAATAAATCAAAACATTTATTTAATATTTGAAATATATAAATTAAATGAGTTATTGGTTCAATGGAAATTATAGGAAAAGTAATACGAGGATTGGAGAATCATTGGAAGGGGGGATTTAATCGGATAAACACATTTGAACTCAATCATTTGTGGTTTATCCTTTTGGTTAAATAGTGGGGAAAGTGGGAGGGAAGAATGGAAAAATACAAAGTGAACGTTCTGGGAAATGGGAAATAATAATTGTGATAATGTTGGGAAAAGGGATAAAAAGGTTGTTTACATTATTGGGAATGTTCGTGAAGGATAAGTGAGTAATGGGAAAAGGAATTAATAACAATAAATGTGCAAAAATGGAGATAAGGGGGAAGGATAAGATGGGAAAGAAAGAGTGTAATAAATGGAAATTGAAATGTAAATAAAGTCGGGGTCGGGACTTGGATAAAATATAAGTATCGAGTCTCGAGTCCGGGGCTTACAATAATCAGGGTGACCATTTTCAGGTTGCCAAAGGAAATATTTTTTTCTCAGGGTTACATTATATAATTAATTTTAGAAAAATTATTTCATTATCAATAAATTTTATATCCCATTGTTTATCCAAGAAAACTGTTAAAAAATACAGGTTTAAAGAAAATAAGTTGAAAGAAAAGAATTTAACAGCCAAATTAGGAAAAGGAAATTTAACATTTTTCATTTGAAAATACTATAACATCTTCAGTTCAGAAACATCGTTATCTCATTGCATTACAAACAAGTGTAACTATGCCCAATTTCACCTGGTGGCGTACAACTTGATCCAGGACAGCATCTTTTATCATTTTTGTCGTTACAACCACTCCCAGCAACAATACAACATGTTCCTTTATTAGCACCTTTATCAGAACAAAGACCAGCACAACAATTACCCTTCCCTTTTCCAGTACATGTACGTCCATATCCAATACAATCACCCTTGTTTAATTGGTAACCATTGTTTAATTGTAATAATATAAATATTGAAAGAAAAAATAAACAAATTTTTGTTGAAGAAGAAAACATTTTTTTAATTTTTAAACTTTGAATGCTTAAATTATTTTAGTCTGAAATTAACATTAAATATTAAATAAATTAAATATTTTATTTCAAAATATTTATTATGTAATATTTTTTAATAAACCTCTGATTTTAAAATTATAGAAAAATCTACTTAGAAATATTCGCCTCCAAACGTTCGAGTTTGCTCAAAAATTTAGTAAAAGGCTATGTTAAATAATTACAAAAATTTATGTACAGACGGATTTGTGGATATGATCACCTCCAAGATATCAACAAAATTTAATTAACGGATTAATTTTATTTTTAATTTAATTTTAAAATAAAAATATTAATTAATTAATTAAAATGAGTTTATTACCTCAATCAACATACCTGTATTTATATTACTCTAATCACTACATTCTTTAAGATTTCCAAATAATCATCAAACTATATCTTAGCTCAAAGCTTATTTTTTATTTAAACATCTGGGTATTTTTAAGCTAAATGTTAAGTTTTGTGTTTTTATCTTGTCTATTTTTGTTTTTAAATAAATGGCAATTTAAGCTAATATCTAGAAATTTATTATTTTTGTTTATTTAATAAGTGAATTTTTGGATTCATGGTTTTAGAAAAAAGAAATTTTTCGTATTTTATTTGGTGTACTTTGCCTTTATTTTCTATTTTTGTAAATTAATGGCAAGTTTTGCTAAAATCTGAATTTTATTTTTTTTGCTAAAATATTATTTTCTTTATTAATTTTTTAGCCGAAATTTAATTTAGAAACATTTAAGAATTTATTGACTATTGTGAAATCTATCAGTATTTTTTCTAAAAAGGCAAGCAAAACACCCAAAATTTTATAGCCATAAACTAATGTTTGTTTGCTTCGAGAACCTGTTCAAGCAACGGCAAAATTTAGAATCGCCAAGAGCTAGATCCGTGAAACTACATATTATAGTATCGGAACTACAAGTAACCAGTCTCGATATTCAATTATGTATACTTAAAATTGGATCTAAATTTTATTAATCTTCAATAACACTATCAGAAACTTTAACGCCAGATTTTAAATTATGAATAAATACATCATCAACAACAGGGTCTTAATGAATAGTTTTATTATTAATCAATCACAAACGTCTTGTCAGATTTTACAGAAAAATCAACAAAAGTTGTTTTATCTTAAAATGGCCATATTTTGATAAACAAATAATTATTTTTAACTTTAGAATTTTCTTTCCCACGTTTGATATTTGCTAGTTTATTTTACTGAATTAGCTTTTATCAGTGAGACATTTTACTATAAAAGTATCTCCATAATCTATTCTTTATCTCTTCCATTACAAAGTTTAACTTCTTAACGTCAAGTTTGTCAGAATGCTGAATCGCGGCAGAAATGTCTCTTCAAACGCTTTCAAAACTGTCTCCATCCTCTTATGGTTCTCGGCTTTTGTGTTGCTCTTTGGATGTTGGGTTAAATGCGATCTAGTTGGACATGGCAGACATGAACTGCGCGACGGAAAGATTGAAAAGTTGATGGTCAATACAATGATTGCCGAGACTCCGGAGGACTTGGAACAATACAAAAAGCTTCCTGGCGCTTGTGATGTTGAAATGGACAAGGATGGGAATATGTAAGCAAATTACAAAGACATATTCTAATAACAATCCATCCCTTTAACAGAATTATTTGGTACCTTAAACATTCCAAAACAAAAGAGGATGGATGTTCTGCTGATTTTGTCACTACAAAACATGATTCTTTTTTGTTGGAATTTGGTATCTGGCACACTTCTGAGCTTTCGGACTGTCTAGATTTCGCCGGAGGAACAGGCGATAAAGCCGATAGCCTAGAAAATTATGCCACTTTAAATGAAAATAGGTACATATCCAATATAAGTAGCTACAACAAAAAACTATTCTTATTTAGGGTTGGATTCTCCTTTAGTCTAAAAGGCAGCGAGTTCGACAGGATTAAGAATGGACCTCTATATGGTAATGATGATGATTGTACTGATGGAGAAATGTGTAAATTCGGAAAAGGTAAATGTTTGAAGGCAGCGGATTATTCTATTGGATGGGCTCGGATAAAAGAAAACATAGTTGACAGCCTTCAAGCAAGTAAAAAATTTTTTATTGTAATATAAAAAATAATCAAAAAAATTTAAGTTGGCGAGGTTGATTTATCCGCTTGCCGTAGATATTATCCTAATTATGTCAAGAAAACATCTTTTGGGGAAACATATACAACCTTCAATATTAAATTCAGCAGAAATGGACATGATACTTCCTGTGGACCACCGAGAATGAGGAAGGACAAGTTCAAGGAAGCTATGCATTGTTTTAAAATGGAAAATCTTCACGTGCCGGAAGGATGGAAAATTATGGACCCAAACTATATAGATCAAAAATACCAAAATCTTTTAACCTTCCACATTCTTCCTGTTACTGCAATGAGAGAAACTATGCAGAATATTGAGAAATGCAATGGGGAATGTGATAAAGAATCAACAATGCAAAAATGCGAGAAAATGTCTGTTAAATTTGTAAGTTTGTTAAATTAAAATTGAAGAAAAAATCCAAATTATTTAGTCTAGTCAAGACTATAAACTTCTCGTTCCTTTTAATCCAAACAAAAAGACAACGACTATAACTACAAAAACTACCAAAAAGCAACAAACTACCGTAAAGCAACAGACAAAAACTTCAAAGCAAGAAGGGAACAATACAACAACTAAGGGAGGGAATAATCCAAAAATCAAAAAGACTACCGCTACGAAATCTTCAGGAATTAGCCAAGCTACTCTATTACTTGTTGTCTCTATAATTATTTTGTAAGTTTATTTGAAAGATAATTTCTTATGATTATTAGAGAGTGGACTGGAAGGGTGTAAAGAATCAAAACCATCAAAATATTTTGATACTCGATAATCGAGATGTCTGTTCGAGATCCGTCTAGGTCCTTTCTCTAAATTCACCATATAGACATTAATAAAATTTTAAATTTTGTAGGATTGTCTCAACTATTTGCTGTTCAGTTTGCTTATTTTTGGTCAACAGTTCGGATGGAGGAAAGGGAAAGACAGGAACTCCGAAAGTATAAGAAGTGGTAGAAGGAATGTATAAATAAATAAAAGGAATTTGGATATAATATTGGAGTGATATTAATGCCGAAATACATTAATATTGTTATTTATTTTTTCTAAAATTTTGTAAAGCCTTTGTGATTTGAAAAATAAAATTAAAGGATTGATAATTAAATTTTTGAATTTTATTCAAAATTAATCAAGTATTGCCTTCCGTTTTTCAATTACTTTCTAAGCTTTTATGAGGTTTTTTGCTTGAAGAATTTAAAATAATTGTAAGGGATTTTCTGTTACTGTAAGGGATTTTTGAGAACCCGTCTAAGGAGCCACCAAAAATTTAAACTGCCATGAACTATTCTAATATCGGAAACTCAAGCAGCTAGTCTCGAAATACAAGCCAGGAATTTTTGTAAGACACGCTGATAAGGGAGATAATAATATGTAGAATAGACTTTCTATTAATTTTTTAATCTTATCTCCCCAACTCCCTCCTTACATCCGAGTCCACAACCCCTATAATACCTAACCCCTATAATACCTTGAACCCCTATAATACCTCCATATCCCCTTATATCAATCATATCCCTCAAAATCACTATCCATCCACAAGTGATTTTTAGTGATTCTTCAATTTTTAATTGCAAAATAGCTAAAGAATAACCTTACATGTTGGTGTTAGATTGTAAAATTCCACGAATGATTTCACTTTTTATTTAAATTTCTTTCGTATTTGTGTTTCTATCTCCCTTACCTTTACCTTTCTCCCTTACCTTAATTTGTTTGCCAAACATTTTTATTTATTCCACGTTTATTCAATTTTATTTCTCTCCTCAAATGATAGCTAGCTTTTTATAAATGGAGAGATTAATAGTCTTTTAGGGTAAAATTCGATAGAAACTTGAAAATTATCCTCCATTATTTAATTCTAAATAAAATAAGCGAGAAAAAATATTTTATTTTTCCATTTAGAAACATTTAAGTTTTCATAGGGCCAATCAATTAGAGGAGGCCACTAATCTAGGAATATTATCTATCCACTGACAGAAAGTAAAATTTATAATATTTTTTACAGTTAGGACTGGGAAAAACGAAAAGACGGGTAATCAAGAAAGGAGGATATAATCTCAGTCCGTTAGGAAAATATGGCCCCAAAATCTCGTTTACTCTCATGTAAACGAGGAGAAATGCAGGTATTTCCACTTGCATGTAAGGTTGTTACTAGGACTGTTCACTAACGTCTATTAACCGGGTCCCTCGGATTTCGGTTAACCGACCGTCAACAACCCTAGTTGTTACCCATTCCCGGGGAGGCCATTTTATTCTAATTTTTAACATTTATTTTTTATAAAAAAATTTTATTCAAAAATGACTTCAATTAAATTTAATCTTTTCTTATTCTCAACATTGCTATTATTCCATTTAATCAACAGCGATTGTCTTAAAAGTGGCGGAACTTGTACACCAAACAAGAAATGCTGCCGAGGTTTTGATTGTAAAAATGGGAAATGTTGTGTTAACGTAAATGGATATTGTAGTGGAGAGAATGATACTTGTTGTGATAAAGCGAAAAAATGTTCGAGAGTTGGGCATGCTTCTTTCCAATGTCAATGAAGGAGGATATATTTGGATATTTATAAAGAAAAAGAAAAATTATTGATAAGTGGGAAAATAATTAATTTTATTAAATTAATTTATTATTCAATTTAATAAATGTTTAATTTGATAAATATTCAATTTTCAACACTCTCTAACAAACTAAATTCGTCAACTAAATTTAACAGAAATGGCAAATTCTATATTAAATTAAAGATTATTTTTAGAAAAAATATAAAGATAATTACCTAAGTGTTGGGTTTGGGTTCCGAAGCCTTTCGAGGATTATACAAATTCTACTCTTTAAATAACTTTATTTACATCTAACTATTTACAAATTAAAATATATACATAAGGGAGGGAAAAGGGGACAATTACAAGAGTCTGGCCAGACCTGATAAAAACACTTCTAATTAGATTTGAATGACCATTTTGGATGAGTATTTATAGGGGACATTAATAAGTCGAGATTGGCGAAAACAAGTGAATAACAAATATTAAGATAAGGGTCGGGAATTGTGATAGACTCTGATAACGGTCGGGATTCCTTTTAATATAGAAAGAGGTCAAAATATATGTGCCTGTGAATGCATGTGAATGCAACATTTATTTTTAGTTTGTTTATTTGATTAGGAGGGATACAGCATTCCTTCCCCCTTCGAAAAGAACGTCCACGTTCTACTTTTCGGGAAATTTGCTAAGGCTGCCTTTTTAATTAACTGCTTTTCTTTAAACTAACTTTTCTCCGATTAAACGGGTGGCACATTAATTTTCCTTTAATAAGGGTAATTTAGGATTATTTTAAAATATATATTTTTTTAATTTTAATTCTCTAAGCATTATTTTTATTTTCTCATAGTACAATTATGAACGACGGTTTTTTAAAAAATATTTCCTGACTTTTTTTTTTTAATTTTATATTTTTTCTGACCGAGCTTTATCGTTAAAATTTTAATATTTTTTTTTGTATTATATTTTAAATTTAGTATTGTTTCTCGTCTTTATGACGGCAGCGGATTTATTTTTACTACATTTAAGTAATTATTATAAAGGCTTTAATTCTCTTTCTAATGTGTTTTTGTTTTACTTCTTTTACCTCCATGTTCTCCGACGAATTAAGTAAACACTGATGAGGAAAGAAATATTACATTACAGAACTAATGATTATTTAGGGGATATTTTACATAGGTACAGAAATTTTTGGGAAAATAAACTGAAAACAAGGTGAGGGAAAGTTGGGATAATTAGCATAAATAAATTAAACGATTTTATTTAAATTCATTCAAAAAGCAGCAATTTAGTGGGGTCTTTCAAGTTGCAGAACAAATTTTTTGTTGATATATAGATGACCAATCTTCAGCTGATACTCCAGTTTTGTGAGTTGATTTTACTGCAGGAGATTGTGTTGTTATCGTTGCTGGAAGTTGTATCCTTCTGATGATTCTGTCGATTCTCCCAATTTTAAGTGGGGGATTTTTCTCTGCTAGTTTTTCTCGGCTTTTGTTTCTCGGTTTTTTAGTTCCCGGTTTTGTACTTCCCTCTCCATTATTAAAAAAAAATTTTTTTTTTTTTAGTCAAGTCCTTGTTTTTTTTTAGAATGGGCTTTTGCTATTTTTTAGGGATTACTCTTTTTATTTTACTCTTCGTGCAGCTTTGAGTCCGGCTCAAGTTGATGATCGACGGCTATCTAAAAACTCCTGACCCAAACTAGTTCACTATGTAAAGAAATTAGTGTTTTTCTCGGCGTGAGCATAGTTGATAGTACAGTTGATGATACTTATGGTTATTTATCCTTGCCGGTGTCTTAGCATATCCAGTTGTGTATTATTTATTTACTAGACATATGATGACCCGTTAGAAATATCTCATTGTATCTTTTATCCCTTTTATTCAATGACTTTTTTGTACATAATATTTTACTGAATTCACGATACCAGTTGGATGACAAAACGGGGTTTTTGGATGTGTAACTCTCAATTATTTATTTTTATTGAAAAGCCAGAATATATTTTTAAATGTGTCCGATGTGTCCGCCGCTAACTTAAAATTTCTTTTTTCCGATTTTTTAATTAGGCCTCTTATAGATCTGCACGAATTTTTAATTTTTTATTTTCTCGCAAGTAATTCAAATTTCTTTATTATTTTTTGATTTAAGAGTTATGTTACTGTCTTTCAGAGTTTCAATTTGAATGATTACTTTATGTATCTAGGATTTTTTCACTAGATATTTGTTGTCTCTATTTTTGCACTGGTCAATGCGTTACTACTCAACTCTGCATAGAGATTCTGATTAAGCAATATTTGAAGCTCCTGTTATAAGATATACGGGGAACTGTGTATCTCTGCAAAATTACATATAAATTTTCGAAAGAAAAATACTCGGAATTATTTAGTCTCCTTGTGAGCTTTTAGGCTGAACCAGTTATAACTTAAAATAATATTTAATTTGCTGATTAATATCCATTCTC